ATGGAGTTTCATTTAGGCAAAAGAGAGATGTTGCATTTTGGTAAGGCAAATCACGGCAGGATTTATACACTTAATGATAGGGTCCTGGGAAGTTTCACTGAACAAAGAGACCTTGGGGTGCAGGTTCATGTTTTCTTGAGAGTGGAGTTGTAGGTAGACAGGGTAGTGAAGAAGGTGTTTGGTATGCTTGTCTTTCTTAGTCAGTGCATTGAGTATAGGAGTTGAGAGGTCATGTTGCAGCTATACAGGACATTGGTTAGGTCACTTTTGGAAGACTGCATTCAGTTGTTGTCTGCCTGCCTAAGGAAAGATGGTGTTAAACTTGAAAGGATTTAGAAAAGATTTACAAGGATGTTGTTGGGATTGGAGGATTTGTGTTATAGGGAGAGGCTAAATGGCCTGGGGCTATTTTCCCTGGAGCATCGGAGGCTGAGTGGTGATCTTGTAGAGGTTTATAAGGAGCATGGATAGGGTGAATAGCCCAAGGTCTTCTTCCTGGACTGGGAGAGTCCAAAACTGGAGGGCATAGGTTTAGGGTGAGAGAAGAAAGATTTAAAAGGGATCTAAGGGGCAACCTTTTCACGCAGAGGGTGGTGCATGCATGGAATGAGCTGCCAGAGGAAGTGGTGGAGGTGGTTAAAATTACAACATTTAAAAGGCATGTGGAAGGTATATGAATAGAAAGGGTTTAGAGGCATGTGGGCCAAATGCTGGCAAATTGCAGTAGATTAATTAAGGATATCGGGTCCGCATGGACGGGTTGGACTGAAGGATCTGTTTCCATCCTGTACACCTCTATGGTTCTATTGATATGGATAACAGCTTCAATTCATAGTTTGGATTTTAAAAAAATCAGCTGTGAAGAAGATCTTTGCGAAAGCGAGATTGTGAAGAAAGGCTTGCATGCTGCAGTGTCCTGATATATTGCTCCATGGAGCCTCTTAGATTATGGGTACACATTCATGATTCTTTATGTATAACTTAACTACATCTTAGTTTTATCATAAGAGGGAATTTTCAAATGGGACTAGATTAATTTAGGATATCTGGTCAGCATGGATGAGTTGGACTGAAGGGTCTATTTCCTTGCTGTACAACTCGATGATTTTAATTGTCGTATACTTCTAGAAATCCTCATGTAACCGCAATTGCAAGTACATATGGCTGATGTCCAGTTTCATGAAAGAGAGTTCCCCCTTACCAGCTTTGTGTTTGAATCTTCGCTGTGAGGTATTGGATATTTATCCAGCTGCAAAAAGCAGTTTACTGTCTGTTTAAAATCCCCACAAAGGCAAACTGGTCCATCAGGTTTCACAATCTGTATAACCAGTGCTGCTCCTTCCACAAACTGGAAAGGTTTCATGATTCCTTCGCTTTCCAGCCTTCTGATTTCTTTCTCTACTTTTGCCCATAAGGCAAATGACACTGGGCCATTCAGAATTGCTTCCTGGTCAATATGCAAAGCAGCGTTGGCCCTTTTGACAGTCCTAGACCTTCCTGAAAGACTTCCAGGTATTTAATTAGGACTTCACTCAGGCAGCCATTTTCTAATTGAAAAATGTTGAGCCAATCTAGGTGAATCTCTCAACCAATTTCACCCCCTCAGGCTTGGGCCTGAGCCTTTTACTACAATCAGTGGTAACTGAACCAGCTGCTTCTCATACGAGACCAGAACTGAAGTTGTACCCTTAATCTGCAAAGGTTCCCTGGTGTAGGTTCTTAGTCTAGCCAAGGTCTTGTGCAAACCCATGTGTTGGAGTCCAGAGCTAATTTTGTTAAAGACTGGTTCTACAATCACTGAAACAACAGTACCAGTATTGACCTCCATTAGAACTAGATGACCATTTAACCAAACATTTATTTTGATTGGTTCTGATTGGGATATTGCTAAGCAATTTATGTGTTCCAAAACGATGTAGGTGGACTTTCCACTATGTGCAGTTTCCTCAACACTGGGCTATGAGTTCTTTTACTTCATTTAGATTTAGTAGGAATACTTTGCTGTCTTGAGTCCACATTCGGGCAGCAACTACAATGGCTTGCCGGCCCAGATCCTGACAAAAATTTTAGATATTTATCCGAGGTTTGGCTTTGTTTTTGGGTTGTGCTATGGGCTAACCTAGAGTCCCTTTGTTCAGGATATTTACTCAAGTGGTGTGCCCTAAGCTCAGTCGGACTGGTGAGGGTGTCCACTTCCTTCAAAATATCCTGCAACTCATATGCTCCACTTTCTTATGATAAAGCCAGTTATAATGCCTATTTGAAGTCCAGTTTGGCTTTAGCCAATAGGCGCTTTTGGATAGTTACATCATTAAACACACATACCAAATGGTCTCTCAGCATCTCATTAAGGGTTAAACCAAAGTCACATGCCTTTGCTAGTCGGCTTAACCTAGTCAAAAATTCCGAAATGGATTCCCCTGGTTCTCGAATTGCTGAGTAAAAACGATAGCGTCTCAAGATTAGGGGAGGCTTAGGGTCGTAATATTCCTTAAGTAAATCCGTTAACTCTTGAAAGGTTTTAGTATCTGGTGCCACAGGGAAAGCTAGGCTCCTAATGACTTAAAAAGCTGCCAATCCACAAGCCGTCAGGAGAATCACTCATTGCTGTTCATCCTTCCCAATGTCATTTGCCTTGAAAAAGAAAAATTCTTTTTACATGCTGGGCCCATTCTTCGACAACAGAGTCAAATGAGACAAGCTTCCCAAATAACAATATGATACCAGAAATGCTTACTCCAAGTTTAAGATGGCTATTGTAACTCAGTTTCTTTAGGAATGTACTTTACTCTTGTTGCCTTAAGAAGCCTTACCAAAGACCTGTACAACCTCAATGTGGCATCCCAACTCCTGTATTCAAAGATCTGAACAATGAAGCCAAATGTGCTAAATGCCTTTTTAACCACCTTGTCTACATGTGACACAAACTTGAAAGAATTATATTCTTGAACCTCTAGATTTCTCTGTTCAACATCACTACCCAAAAATCTACTTTTAATTATTTAAGCCCTGCCCTTGTTTGTTTTACCAAAATGCAATACCTTGCATTTATCTAAATTAAACTCCATTTGCCACTCCTTAGCCCATTGAGCCAATTGATCAAGATCTCTTTGTAATCTTAGATAGCCTTCTTCACTGTCAACTCTATCAAATATTTTAGTGTCATCCACAAACTTACTAACCATGCCTCCGACATTCTTATTCAAATCGTTTATATAAATGATGACAAAAGTGGACCTGTACTAATCCCTGTGGAACACTGCTGGTCACAGGCCTCCAGTATGAAAAACAACCCTCCACCACCACCCTCTACCTCCTACCATCAATCCAATTTTTATCCAATTGGCAAGCTCTCCCTGAATCCGATGCAATATAACTTTACTATTTAGTCTCCCATGTAGAACCTTGTCAAAGGCTTTACAAAGTATAAACAACATCTATCACTCTGCCCTCATCAATCTGTTTGGTTACTTCCTCAAAAAAACTCAATCAAGATTGTGAGACACGAGTTTATGGTCAATGGTAGCCCCAAAGATGTCGGTAGTGGGGTTATCAATGATGGTAACACCACTGAATATTAACGGGCAGTGGTTAGATTGCCTCTTATTGGAGATGATCATTGCCTGGCATTTGTATAGCACAAATGTTACTTGTCATTTGTCAGCCCAAACCTAGATATTGTCCAGACCTTGTTGGACTTGAACATGACTGCTTCAGTATCTGAGAAGATGCAAATGATGCTGAACATTGTGTAATCATTGACATACATCCCCACTTCTGACCTATTCCTGCCACCCTTTCCAGTTGAGCATTCCAGATTCTATAACTCACTGAGGGAATGTTTCCTTGTTTCCCCCTCTAGAAAGGGAATATTTTTTCTGTAAACTCAAATCCTCTCACAGCCTTTAAAGTCTCCAGTGGTCCAAGGAAAATAGATCCAATGTTTCTAATGACTTCTCAGAACTGACATGCCTCTTCCCTGGTTGCTGCTTATTCTTTTAAAGCTATTTAACTTTATCCAGAAGTGTGCTGCACAGAATTATGCAGAATGTACGTCCAGTTCCTCTCTCCTTGACCAAGTGTTTGTTCGCCGAGCTATAATCTCCTTTTGTGGCTCAGAATCATAATTTTTTTCATAATCTGTGATGCACCTTGGGACATTAAATTACATTAAAGAGTGCTATATAAGTATATATTTCTGTTATTGTTGAGACCTAATCAATGTTTTCTAAATTTCTGCCATTATCTCTTAATTTTTACAAGATACATCTCAATTTAAAAATTTGAATAAGTGCCATTTTCAGTATTTACGTACAAAGACACCAAGGTCTCTGCTGAGTAACATTTCACAGAACTGTTCTATTTGCAGTGGACTATCTTTCCATCACAACCAGTGAGGTAAGAAATACAGCAAGGTGAAAATGATCTGATAACCTCTTTCTGCGACATTGTTGGGGATTAGATTTGATCAGCGTACTGGGGATAAGCCTCATGCTTCACTTCAGAATTGTCCCATAATGTCTTATAGACCCACCTGAGCACACAGATGGAGTTTTGATTTAACATCTTGACTGAAATGCGGCACTTCTAACAGTGTTGCACTCCGTCAGTACTACATGGAGTATCAGTCTTTGTGCTTAACTGTCAGGCCTGATACTTGAACCTGCAACTTTCTCTTACAGAAACAAGACTGTGACCACTGACCCACAGTTGTGCTTTAGCGGTAAAGCTGTGAGTGGGAATGCAACATGTAATCAGTGGGAAATAACCTGGGTGACAAGTTAGATTAATTTCTGCTGGTGTAAGGAGATGTGTAGAGGGAAATGATTACAGATGGTTTTATCTGGAGGTTTAACAAGGTATAAATGGCTTTTGGAATAGGATTTTGGTTGTCATTCAAAGTTCTTTCATTTGGGCCATAATAAAACTTTAAACTCTGGAACTTTGACCCTTAATTCAGTTGAGTGATCAGTAACAGTACACACACTGCTCTCGTAACAATGAAACTTCTGGGCTTTCTTCTCTTTATTACTAACTTTGGGATCATTTTCAGCCAGGGAGGTAAGGTCTGGTTAGTCTTATATTACTTAATTCAATTGGAGATGAAAATATCATGTGCTTGGTTAACTACTAAATTGTCCATTTGATCATGGTATGCTGATCAGCCTCTGAAGTTTCATGAATGATGTTATATGACTGAGGCCAGAACAGAACAGTGAGTAATACATTTTTACCATTATGTTTTTGCTTTTATATTAAATGCCTTGATTTATTATTGCAAGTATACCCACGCAGTTAAGGTACAGTATTGCAAGTCCAAAGGTCATCGTCATTCACATTTGAGTGAATCAGTTATTACCAGAGAGTTTTAATATTGTGTCGAGTCCTACCCTGGGTGGAATTGTGGATTATTTTAAAGGACTGGTGATCCCTTAAACTCATTTCCTAGTTTGACACACAGGTTTCCTAAAGCAAGATAGCTACTCAGAATTTGGAAGATGGTGACAGAAGCAACTCACTGGAACTTAATAAATGGCCACCTCAGGCCATTAACAAGCTTGCTGTCGTCTCATTTAGGAGCTAGATTTGGATTTTCATTTCAAGTGTCAGCTTAGATGTGCCTTCAGAGTCACAATATGGAGGTGAAGGTATCTGACATACCAGGGAGCTACCTGCCCACACCAGGACAGAGGTAAAGGGCAACATTGAAGTACATGATGACAAAACTTTAGTGTGGTATTTATGGGTAGAAGGATGCTACTACCATTCCACTTTCCTTGTCTGTTTCTAAGGGCCAATTTAGTTTCCAATACTAGGGAGACAACTACATGTGAATCTATAGTGTTTGGAACCAGGTGGATCTTGTCGACTACTAGATCCTTGAGTGGAGTTGTTAACTTGGGCCAATCAGGAAGCCCAGGCTGTCCAATATAAATTATATAAATATAATTTAGAATCTGCCCAGTTGAGGGGACTGACTCTGAGTTGGCTGTAGCTGGTGTATTGTGCCCAAGTAAATAAAGGGTGACAGGGTACCAGCCCCTGTGCAGTTATTTCAGAGTCCTAAAAAGAAGTAGCTCTCATCTTAACACTATGTAGTTTATTTGTAGCAATAAGGTACAAGTTAGGCTGGCTAGACATTGTTGCTAAGGCTATTGGGAAACAGATGACACTTTTGTCCCCTTTAATGTCCAAAGCTATTATGCCCATTTCCCCAGGCAAGACTGTATGATGTAATCATTTTTGGTGGAGCTTAATGCAATGTCCCATGATAATCCTTTCAGAAACTTACCTTATACAACTGTTAGATACAGGTACAGCAAGTGATTAGGAAGGGAAATACTTTGTTGCTGTTTATTGCAAGGAAATTGGAATATATTGGGGAAGTCTTACTGCAGCTGTAGGAGATCTTGGTCAAATCACATCTGGAGGATATTTTGTTAAGTTTTGGTCTCCTTATTTGTAAAAAGATGTAATTCTGTTAGAAGCAGTTAAGAGAAGGTTCACTCAATTCCTTTCTGGAATGAGGGGCTTATTTTATGAAGAGAGGTATCCATTGGCAATTAGAAAAAAGAGAGATGATCTTACTAAACAATAAAAGATCCTGAAGGGCCTCAATAGAGTGAATAGCAGGAGAATGTTTCCTCTTCTGGGTGATATTAGACTAGGGACATAATTTAAAAGTAAGAGATCTGTCTTTTAAGACAAGCATGAACAAGGCCATACTTGACGCCACTCCCCTGCCCCCTGTAGAATCTGTCCCCTATCCCCCAGCACCCCTCGGAACTCACAGCAAACCCCCAACCCCTGCCATAACTGACTCGACTGATCCATGAGACTGCACCCCATTAGCCAGGTCAGTCTGGACCCTGCCCCACTCTGCGTGAGATTGCCACTCCTCAGAAAATCCCTTGGATCAGGAGTTGAACATGATTTGTTACCCCAGATTGGTTAAACATCACATTAGCTTCACTTTAATTGGAAAATATTTAAATATGTGCACTATGACAAAATGTGTGGATCAGGCCTATTTTGTAGCTGCTGTAATTTAGATAGGCCATGGGGTTAGAAAGCATGAATTGCATTTTAATCCAATGGAAATGTTTGTTTTAGGATCTTACAGCACAGTGGTGATGTTCCAACCTCTGGGGCAGAAGGTTTGGTCTCAAGTAGCACCTGCCTCAGATTGGTATCGTTACATGTCTAAATAGGTTGATTAAAAATGTCTAAATATTTATTTTTGCCAGGTCACTTTTGGCACATCACAGATCTTCACTGGGATCCTGATTATAAAATCACAGAGAACCCAAACACTGTGTGTCCTTCATCTTCGAAACCTGTACCAAACCCAGGGAAGTGGGGCAGCTACCTATGTGATTCCAATTGGGACCTCATCAATCTGACCCTTTATACCATGAAAGCCCTTCACCCTGAGCCAGACTTCATTCTTTGGACTGGGTAAATGTTTGGAACTTACAGTGAAAATCAAAAGATAACAAATAGATTGTGGAATAAATCAATTAAGATTGTCCTAATAGTTACCAAAGGTTGCTGTTTTGTATAGGGAGCAGAATAGTTTATGAGTTTCTATGATAGTAATGTCACTTGTAGGTCATATAATCACTCAAGATGATTCATTTTATTACATAATTTCTTTCAAAAATTTCTTTCACTAAAAACACTTTTTTACAAGGAAAACATTTTTAAAATATTTATGTTGGTAATCTTTCTCTGTCCCATTCCAATGCCCTTAATAAGTAATATTTTATCAAGAATATCAAATTAATTTGACTGAAATATTTTGTTGAAATAGAAGGTTTTTCATAGACCATGAGCAATATCTCTTGTACCCCGAGACTGTGTTGCTGCTGCAACCATGCGTATTTTTCTGGTGTTATTTAATGTAATAAAATGTTCCAAGGTGCTTCACAGCAATTTTCTGAAGCAGAATCTGACACTATACCACATGACACACTGTTAAGACAGATTATCCAGCTCTTAGTCAAGGAGGTAGGTTTTATGGAACATCTTAAAGGAGGAAAGGGAGGGGAGAGGTGCAAGGAGGGAGTTGTAGAGTTTCAGAGCAAAGTAACTGACGATGTGGACACCATGGTCATCCAGCAGCCTTCCTTCACTGGAAAAGCCTCAAAGATTGAATTTGGGTGGGCTGATGTTTTCATAATTGAAGAGGTTTTGGAAACACTCACTGTCAATGTACATGTTAAATAACAATGTAAAGGAGGTAGTGAAGGATGCCTTGGAAGTGTCCTACAGCACGAGTGGATGAGTGATTCTGAGCAAAACGTTCATGGAAAAGGTTTTTGCACTTACAAGAAGTACCTTTCTGTACAGTATACTGTAATTGTGGAAATTATTATGGGGCAGCCTGGTGGCTCAGTGGTTAGCACTGCTGCCTCACAGTGCCAGGGACCCAGGTTGAACTCCACCCTTGGGCAACTGTCTGTGTGGTGTTTGCACATTCACCCCATGTCTGCGTGGGTTTCTGCCAGGTGCTCCGGTTTCCTCCCACAGTCCAAGGATGTGCCAGTTAGGTGGATTGGTCATGCTAAATTGTTCATAGTGTTCATGGATGTGCAGGCTGGGTGGGTCGGTCATGGGAAATGCAGGGTTACAAGGATAAGGTAGAGGGATCAGTCTGGGTGGGCCAATTGGCCTGTTTCTACACTGTAGGGATTCTATGGTCTATAGTGGATGTGGCTAATGACATGAGGATGAATAGCTACCACACTAAAGCATAGTTTTTGAACATGGGTGGCAAAAATAGGGTGAAATTTAAGTTGACGGGGCCCATTAACCAGATGCTGGTGGATCAACTGCACTGCAGAATCCATGTGGTTTCACAGACAAGCCAGTCAGGAGGAAATATGAATTGCATATATCCTGGTTTTCTTCACCTCTAAAATTGTCACCCCTCATTGGTCTTTGTACCCAAGGGAGACCATGAGGATACATCAGGATGCCACTGACTGCATCAGATTTCTGTATTTCCTATTTCTGCAAATGTTAGTATGAACAATCTAACAGGGGAACTTCACTGGTGCCGGGTCAATAACGACAATTCAATTTCATTGAATATAGCACAAAATATTTTTCTGATAGCCCTTGTAATCATCAATATATAACAGAATCTCTATTTCATAGGGCTGCTTTGCAGAACCATATATCCCTTTTAAACTGCAGCTGTGGAGAGAATTACATTGTGTACAGTATAAAAGCATACTTACGTCGCAATTTTCCCTGCTCCAGGCAAATCACCCCCAGCTCCATCCATCTCATTCTATCAACATATCCTTCAAAATTATTTCACAATCATGTGCTCATAACTTCCTGTAAAATACATGATACTAGAGGCCTCAACCACCTCCAGCAGTTGTGAGTTCTGCACTGTCTTTGTAAAGATTTTCCTGAATTCCCTTTGGTTTTATCTTTTAGTTATTACCACTAGTTTTGTTTTCTCGTTAGTTGGAAATACAAAAATATTTTCACTTTTATTTCCAGTTCTGATGAAAAATCACAGACCTGAAATGTTAGCTCCATTTTGCTTCAGATGCTACCAGACTTTCAGTATTTTTTGATTTTCTGAAACATATTTTTGGTCTACCTTATCAAACCACTTTGATTTTAATCACTTGTGAAAAGACTATAAGACATTAGAGCACAAGTAGGCCATTCAGCCCATTGTGTTTGCTCCACCATTCAATGAGATCATAACTGATCTGATAATCTTCAACTTTACTGCATTTTCCCTATAACCCTTGATTCCTTTACTGATTAAAAATCTCTATCTCGGCCTTGAATATACCAAATGATCAGGCTCCACACTGAAGAACCCAACCCTGTACAGCTATAAGTATAATCTTAGCTCTTGTATTGTGAATCATTATTGCACCTTCTCCAGTGTCTTTATATTCTTTTTAATAATATGGAAAATGTTTAATTATATAATATATAATAATGTAATAATATGAATGACGCAGAGTACTTTGTCTAACTAAGATTTAATGTACACGTTTCTGCTTTCCAATTCTACCCAGGCTTATTCTACAAGGAATCATGTATACCTTATGATAGTGCCTGTGATTTCTTAGAATTTTAGGAAGGGGCTATGTGGCAAATTTCTATGTCTTCCGGTTTCAATCTTAGTGTACAGCATGAGCTTGCTCAAAATTTGCTCTGCAATGTTGTTGAACAGTGGGAGATTAAGATCACCTGCAGTTGTATTATAATCCTGTGCACAAATCAAAGAAATGTGTGCTTGCAGTTGAAGAAATTCATTCCTTTGCCCTTCATGTAACATTCAGTGATGACACTCCTCACATCGCTGATGAGAAGCTTGGTGAGGATGCAGTCCTGCAGATAATAAGAAAGTTAACCAAGTTGATACAAGTGGTCTTTCCAGGTATGTGGCAACTATAAATTCTTATTAGCAGAGTGAACACTAAGTGTAAATGTCTGAAGTGCACTAACCTGAAAAAATCTAGATCACCAACCAGAATAACTACTCACCTGTGGTGGCAGTGGGAGAAGTTCCAAAGGCCTGCAGCAGCAGCAGGAGCAATTTCTGAGAACCTGCGATGGCATTGAGACTCGAGGCTTTGGGGCGAGAGGTTACCTTACGGTGATAGATTGCCTCATGGAGATTTGACTTCTGGATCTGGACCAATTCCTCTTTCTTCTTGGCTCTGTTTTATTTTGTATTTCTACATTTTTTAAAAATCTTTAGCATCTTAGATGGTTTTTTTAAAAAAATTCAGGTTTTTATGCCTAAAATGCCGCCAGTGAATGGCACCTTTGTGCACTTTTCACTACACTCCTGAACTTCCGTCCTTAAGTACACATGACAATAAAACCTAATACTAATTCTAATTCACCAATGTGGTGACTTTTCATGTGTTTTTCTCCAGAAGACTTGCATTGCTTAAATATGCCATTTAAAAGAATCTTACCTTCATTAGAAACAAAGTTATGGCAAAACTTTTGTTATGGGATAAGGGAGGGAGAGCCACGTTGGAAACAGTAATGTTGTACATAACGTTAACAAAAGGATGTTTAAATAATTCTTGTTATTTCATTTGAATACTTAAGAAATTTCACTTTTTCATGATACCTTCAAGGAAACCATAGAGTTTGATACACCTATGGTTCTTTAAGTAGTTCAATATCATTGAATCATAGAATTCTTATAACATAAATCACCATTCGGTCTGTTGTGTTCATGCCAGCTCTCTAAGAGCATTTCTGCTCCCATATCCTTTCCCATTTTCATTTCAGATAATTACTCAATTGCATCTCCACAATGACAACCAGATGGTACAGTTACAACATTTAAAAGGAATCTAGATCAGCACATGAATAGGAACGCTTTAGAGGGATATAGGGCAAATGCTGGCTAATAGGACTAGATCAAATTGGGATGTCTGGTCAGCATGGAGGAGTTGGACCGAAGGGTCTGTTTCCGTGCTGTATGACTCTATAACTATAACCCTATGAGAAAGAATAATTCAACCCCTTTTTTAAAAACTCCTTAGTTGATCACAATAAATATTTTTATCTTATTCAGGTCACAATTATGTCAAATATCGGTTAAGAATTAGGTAACTAAATCAAAATGAAGAAGCTAATTGCAAGGTTTTCTTTACAAAACAGGAATTTTATTACTTACTAACCTGAAGGGTGTTGGAGAGGGAATTAGAGATGCGAGCATGACATCAAAAACAGGTGATAAGTTTTATAAGACATGAAGAATAAAGGCTATGTAGTATAAAATCCTTGAAGTGTTAGATTATTGACCTGAGACAATAGTAAACCATAGAACATGTTACTGCACAGAAAGAGATCATTCAACTCATCGTGTCTACACCAGGTGGAAGTTCCAGTGCTTCAGGTACAGATCCAGGTACCTTTTTGAAATGGGTTGAGAGTTTCTGGCTTGGACATTAAACTGGGTAGTGAATTCCAGACACCCACTGCCCTCTGGATGAAATGTTTTTCTTCATGTGTCCTCTAGTCCTCATATCAATCACCTTTAATTTGTGCCCTTTGGTAACTAATGTCTCCTGTAGTGGAACTGAATCTTTCCTGATTATATCTAGACCTCTCATTATTTTTATGTCTCAATTAAGTTACTCCTCAGCCTTCTCTGTTCTAAGAAAAACAACCCTTTTCTATCCAATCTTTCCTTATAGCTGCAATTTTCAAGCCATGGCAACATTCTTGTAAAAGTCCTCTGTACTTTCTCAAGAATAATTATGTCTTCCTGTAAAGCAGTGACCAGAACTGTACACAAAATTCTAACTGTGGCCTAATCGGCATCTTGTACAGTTCCAACATTATATTGCTTTTGTATTCTATACCTTATTCTAATAACAGAAAATATTCCATATACTTTCTTTACCACCTTCTCTTCGTTTCCTGCCATCTTCAAGGACCTGTAGCCATACACACTAAGGTCACTCGTTTCCTCTATCCTTCTCAATATCCTCTCATTTATTGATATTTTTATGTTTTGTTTGCCTTACCAAATTAATTACCTCATTTTCTCCGGGTTGAATTCCATTTGTGATTTTTGCTCCCACTCAACCAAAGCATTGATTTCATTCTGGAGTTGACAGCCACCTTCCTCATTAGCAACGGTACATTTTTTTTATCATCTGCAAATTTCCCAAGCATGCCTCTTACATTTATGTCTAAATCACTAATATTTACAACAAACGGCAAGGGACCCAACATTAATTCCTGTGAAATACTATTGGAGACTACTTTCCATTTGCAAAAATAATCTATTAATCATCTCCCTTTGTTTGCTGTTACTTAGCTAATTTTAGTCCAGTGTGCCAGATTCCCCTATGTACCTTGGGTTTTTTACTTCCCTCACCAGTTTGCCACGTAGAATCTTATCAAATCCCTTACTAAAATCCATGTAGATAGCATCAACTATGCTTCCCTCACCAACCTTCATTATTACTTCCTCAAAGTGGGTAAGACATGACTTTCTCTTGAGAAAACTATGCAGACTATTCCTGATTAATCTGTCTTTTCAAGTAACTGTTAATTTTATCTCTTAGAATTGTTTCCTAATAATTTGCCCACCACCGAATTTTGATTGTCCTATTATTGTGTGGCTAATCCATCACACCCTTTTACAATAATGGTGCACTGTTTGCAGACCTCCAATACTCTGGTACCTCCCCTCTAGTAAGGATTGAAAAATGATTCTCAGAGCATGCGTTATTTTCTTCTTGACCCCCCTATAGGTAGGATAAAATAATCTGGCCCTAGTAATTTATCCACCTTCATGGATGTCAGACCATCCAGTACTTCCTTTTCATTCATTAACCTTTTGTAGCTAATATTTCATGCTCCTTTTTGAACTAGAATGTCTGTATCATCCCTCTCCTTTTTGAAAACAGAAACAAAGTATTCATTAAGAACTCTGCCCACGTCTTCTGCAACCATTTCTAAGTTACATTGTGCAACTCTGTTGGCCCAACCCTTTTAGTTATCCTCTTGCTCTTATTGTACTGGTAAAAGATCTTTGGGATTTCCTTGGGATTTTTATCTGCTATCATCTTTTACTTATCCTCTCTTTACTTTTATAATTTCAGTCTTTACTTCTGCCCCCTTACTTTGTTTACTCCTCTAGGTTTTCTTGTGATTGTAATAAGCTTGCTTGAGCTTATTCTTGCTCTGGATAACCAGGAGGCTCTAGGTTTGCCAGTACCACTCTATTTTGTTTGTGGGGACATGTCTGTACTGCCTGTGAATTCCTGTGTTAGAATGGCTCTCACTATGTCATGGTTAATCCTCAGCAATGGTGAAGTTTAAATATCTTTTGAGTTCTCAGTGAATGGATACTTTTCACTGGGTGCTACTTTCTGAGATGAGAAACACAGGTAGAGTGAATCTTAATCTTTGAGAAGCACACTTTGGCCCTGAAATGTCTGGATTGTAACAATTAGATAGTGGACATTAAAATTAAATAGTCCTTATTTACATTGTCATGACAACTCTCAAATATTGCATTTCAGATCTTAAACGATTCCCTAGAAGAAAGAGAGAAAAATTAATTGCAGTAGATCCATTTCACCATTTTGTGCCAGATTCTTGTGAAATAGTTTAGAAAATCTGCACATTGCTCCTTAGTTCCTTACTGAAACCTTTCGGATAACATGTCCATAGCCAGTACTGAGGCTTTCTCTAATTCATGAGGAAATCTATTCTTACTACGTAGGCAAGTTAAACAATCATGCCAAAGCAGCTGGAATTCATAGCATGTGAACTGTGATTACAGATACTTAGAATTCAGATATAACATCAATATATTTTACAACTTGAATAAATTGACTTTCTGTTGCTGACCCTTACTTCCACTTGTCACAGTTTTTGATCATGTGTTATGGTTAACATTTACTATTTTCAGTTGCTGTACTAGTACTTCCCTTCTTATTTTTCTACGTTAGCTGTCTTGGCCTCGTCATAAGACTCAGGATATTGGTCACCCTAGAGAGCAGTTTTCTAAGGTCCTTATTACAACTCTACTGCCATCTTATATCTACAAAATGCTTATTTATCACCTAGGAATAAACAATGAAATTTGACAGTTGAAAGTCAACATATCAATTTATAGAAAACATCATCTGATTCACTATTATCGTTTAGGAAAGGAAATCTGCCATACTTGCCTGATCTGGGCTACATGTAACTGCAGACCTACAGCAATGTAGCTGACTCTTAACAGCCCTCTGAAATGGCTTAGCAAACCTCTCAGTATCAGAGCAATTAGAGATGCCCAATAAATGCTGGCTTTTCAGTGATGTCTACATTTCATGGGTGAATAAAATGAAGTTAACGTAGAAACATGCAGCACAGAAGGAGCTATCCAATCAGTCAAACTCCAAAATGGCAAAATTCTGTGGATGCTGGATGTCTTAAGTAAACACAAATTGTTGGAAGAAATCATCTATAGAGAGAGAATTAAAGCCAACATTGAGTCCAGTGTGACTTTTTGGTACTCGCCCCATTCAACAGTTCATTCTTCCTGCAAAGTTTTCACCTAAAGTATTTACTAAATTCTCTTCTGGAAAGTATTATTCAATCTGCTTTGGCTACCCCTTAAGATTGGCCATTCCACATCAAGGAGGTCTTCTACATTTAAAGAAAACAAATGATGCTTAACATCTCATTGGTTCCTTTACCAACATTGAAGCTCTTTTATCATGCCATTTGATTGAGCATCTATTTGCCTCAAGTCTGATATGACAAGAAGTACGTAAAGATGTTATAAAGCAAAATTAGACACCAAGCCACACGACAAAATGAGCACGTGAACAGATCATAAAATTGTGTGACTCTGGTCTCAGCTCCGCCCTTTACAATTGGACCCTCAACTTTCTGACCCACAGACTGCAATCAGTGAAGATAGTAACTGCACCTCTTCCACAATAACACTTATTATTGAAACCCCCCAAGGATGTGTCCTGAGCCCCCTACTGTACTCCCTGTACACCTACGACTGTGTTTCCAAATTCCGAACGAACACCATTTACAAGTTCGCTGCAATGCCACCGTAGTGGGACAGATATCTAACAACAATGAGTCAAAATGCAGAAGGGAGATAGAGGGCTTTGTAACGTGGTGTAATGAAAACAATCTGCCTCTGAACAAAACTAAAGAACTGATCATTGACTTCAGAAAGACAGGAGAACACACCCCCATCTACATCAACAGAACTGAGGTTGAGAGAGTGAAGAGCATCAAGTTCCTTGAAAGGACGATGACTGACGACCAGTCCTGGACTTCCCATTGTAAATGCAACAGTCAAGAAGGTGCAACAACACCTCTTTTTCCTCAGGGGGCTCAGGAAATTTGGTATGTCCATGAGGTTCCTCACCAACTTCTATTGATGCACTATTGAAAGCATACTGTCCGGGTGCATAATGGCCTGGCATGGCAACTGCTCTGCCCAGGACTGTATGAAACTACAGAAGGTGGTGTGCACAGCCCAGACCATCACGGAAGCCAACCTTCCATCCATGGACTCTATTTACATGGCTCCATGCAGTGGAAAGGTGGCCAAAATCATCAAGGAGCCAAACGATCTCCTACAACCTCTTCTGTGAAGCAGAAGATACAGAAGCCTGAACACACGCATGAGCAGGTTCAGGAACAGCTTCTTTCCGGCCATTATCAGACTGGTGAATGGACTCTAGTCTCAAATAATGTAACCTGCAATGTAACCTGTATGCCTCTAAGTCTTTTGATCTGTAAATCCTTTACTTGCTGTGATCTGCCTGTGCTGATCGTAAACAAAGCTTTTCGGTGTATGTAACAATAAAATCAATCAACAAAGCTTGACTTTAAACAGGGATTTTAAGGGAAGGTAGCAAACCTTGAAGATATCTGGGTTTCTTCAACTCTGGCCCCTCAAACATCCCAAACTTTAAAGGATTGAGCTGTCTCTATGATTTAACCTGCCATGGCTGAAACTATAGATTGAGATCTAAATTCTGCCCTCTGTTTTTCATTCTGGAGGCTCCTGTAGCCTTGGCTAGACTAGCCCTAATGAGTATGCTGCATCTCTATCTTTGCCATATCAAAGGGTGACTATAGCCTGAATCTTAGAAGTTCCAATAAATGCTTTAGATACATATTGATTGTATAGAATACTGAGTACAGCTCTTTTTTCCTTCTTTCTGACTTAAGATTCTAGGCACCATGTCCCTGTGAGGAGTCAATTGTGCTATTTTCCCAGTTGGCCACTTGTGGCACCTTGTGGCATTTGCCACCTCTACCAGTATGTGGTACTGGGTGAGGCTTGTTTTAAGGTAGTCATCAATCGTTGCCACCAATCCTCCTTTGTCTTTGCTTTGGCTTGGGTCAAGTTAGTGACTAGCAACGAGGGATACCCCACCGTAGAATTTCCAAAGAACAGGTATCATTCTTAAATAATAAAAAGGTTTATTGCATTATGCAAGCAAGTGAAACTACATTTTGGTCAGGCATAATTACTAGGACTTTCAGATGCTGATATAATTATGTATGTTCCTTCTGAAGCTGAGATGAGATTCCCTATCTCCATCTACAGACTGTGACATCAGTAGAATGGGTGGAGTCGCTGTAACAGAATCATAGAGTCATACAGCATGGAAACAGACCCTTTGGTCCAACTTGTCTGTGCCAACCAGACATCCCACTCTGACCTAGTCCCTTTTGCCAGCATTTGGCCCATATCCCTCTCAACCCTTCCTATTGATTTGCCTATCCAGGTGCCTATTAAATGTTATTATTGTACACACCTCCACCATTTCCTCTGGCAGCTCATTTCATACACACACCACCTTCTGTGTGAAGAAGTTACTGCTCAGGTCTTTATTAAATCTTTCCCCTCTCACCTTAAACCTATGCCCTCTAGTTATGGACTCCCACACCCTTGGAAAAAGACTTTGGCTATTCACCCTATCCATGCCCCTCATGATTTTATAAGCCTCTATAAGGTCACCTCTCAGCAAGAAAAAAGGCCCCAGCTTATCCAGCCTCTCCCAATTGCTCAAACCCTCCAGTCTTGGCAACATCCTTGTAAATCTTTTCTCCACTCCCTCAAATTTAACAACATCCTTCCTACAGAAGAGCTTCCAGAATTGCACGCAATGTACTTAAAAGTGGCCTCACCAATGTCCTGTACAGAACTTGACGTCCCAGCTGCTATGTTCAATGTTCTGAGCAATGAAGGCAAGCTTGCCAAATGCCTTCTTCACCACCCTGTCTACCTGCAACTTCACTTTCAAGGAACTATGCACCTGAACCCCTTTGTTTGGCATCACTTCCCGGGACCTTACCATTAGGTGTGTAAGTACCTGTCCTGTTTTGTCTTACCAAAGTGCAGCACCTCACTTTTATCTAAATTAAACACCGTCTGCCACTTCACGGTCCATTGGCCCATCTGATCAAGACCCCATTGTACTCTGAGATAAATCTTCTTCACTGTCCACTACACCACTTATTTTGGTGTCATCTGCAAACTCACTAACTGTGCCTCCTATATTCACATTCAAATCATTTATATAAATAACGAAAGCTACTGGACACATAACCAATCCTTATGACACACCACTGGTCAAAGCTTCCAGTCTGAAAAGCAACCCACTACCACCATTCTCTGTCTCCTACTTTCAAACCAATATTGTATCTAATTGGCTAGTTCCCCCTAACCTGATCTAACCTTACTAACCAGTCTACCATGTGGAACCTTGTCGAACGCTTTGATGAAGGCCATGATTATCAACTCCTTCAAAGCCACTACCTTAAACAACATTAGAGTTCCATCATCATTAACATATATTCGTTTAAACATTTAATTACTCCACTGTTGGCAACTGTGGCTTCAGCTGCCTGCATTGGACCTAAACTCTGGAATTCCATCTCTGAATCTCACCCTATGAACTTACAGTTGGATGGAGAGAGTCCGTCTTCTGTGTAAAATCCAGCCCTATGTCTTTGACACAACATCCTGTGCTTTCTCAGAGTTCTAGAAATGAAACAATATTTTTTTGATGTGGAGGTGCTGGTGTTGAACTGGGGTAGACAAAATCAGAAGTCACACGACACCAGGTTATAGTCCAACAGGTTTATTTGAAATCAGAAGCTTTCGGAGCGTTGATCCCTCATCAGGTGAACGCTTTACCTGATGAGGGAGCAGCGCTGCGAGAGCTTATGGTTTCAAATAAACCTGTTGGACCAGAACTTGGTGTCATGTGACTTCAGTTTTTTTTCTTTTAGACATGGTTAAAATGTACATTTAGCTTCTTCAATGAATTTGTTTTTGCAAAGATCTTAGTTACTATATCATCAGCCCTTATGAATTTAAATAGATTTGTTTCTATACTAAATGAATGTATCTCAACAGGCACTAAAGTCTACTCTGCAATGGGAAATCATGACTTCCATCCAAAAAGTCAGTTTCCTGGTAACTATCACAAGATTTACAACAGAACTGCTGAGCTATGGGCACCGTGGATGGACCATCAATCTATCTCTATCTTTAATCAAGGTCTGGTTAAAAGGAAAACAGTCCTCTGTTCACTGAGACACAATCTAAATTCAAATTGTGTCTTTCTATCTTGCCTGTAGAATCACTGTTCAGTTTTCTTCACTTTCCCATGAATGAAAACTGATAATAGATCAATGGTTAATTTTAAATCTGAGATTAATAGACTTAATGTTAACCAGAGGTATGAGGAGAAATGGGGCAGATAAGTGGAGCTGGTGACACCTCAGCTGTGATCGAATTGAATGGCACAGCAGTCTTGAAGGGCTCAAAGATAGCAAGAACTGCAGATGCTGGAGTCAAGGACAATTACAGTGTGGAACTGGAGGAACACAGCAGGCCAGGCAGCATCAGAGGAGCAGGAAAGTTGATGTTTTGGGTCGGGACCCTTCTTCAGAAATTGGGAGTGGGGAGGGAGCTGGGAAATAAATACAGAGAGGAGGGGTGGAGCTGGAGAAGGTAGGTGAGATAGTGATAGGTGAATGCAGGTAGGAAGTGGTGGGGATTGGTCAGTGGGATGGATGGGCGGATAGGTGGGAGAGAAGATGTGTCAGGTCAAGAAGGTGGAGTTGAGAGGGAGGGTTGGACTTGGGATGAGGCCAGGGGTGGGGAAATTTTAAAACTGGTGAATTCTGTGTTTAGGCCATCGGGCTGTAGGCTCCTGTGGTGGAATATGAGGTGTTGCTCCTCCAGTTTGCGGGTGATGTTATTGTGACACTGGAGGAGGCCCAGGGTGGACATGTCATCCAGGGAGTGGGAGAGAGAGTTAAAATGGTTGGCGACCGGAAGGTGTTGTTTGTCGCGTACAGAGTGCAGATGCAATATGAAACGGTCTCCGAGTCAACGCTCACCAATGTAGAGGAGGCCACATTGGGAGCAGCAGATACAGTAGACCAAGTTGATGGATGTGCAGGTGAACCCCTGTCTAATGTGGAAGGTTTGTTTTGGGCCTTGAATGGAGGTGAGGGGGGAGGTGTATGGGGCAGGTGTAACACGTACTGCGGTTGCAGGGAAAGGTGCCAGGTGTGGTGGGGTTAGTGGGGAGTGTGGAGCGGATGAGGGAGTTGCGGAGAGAGCGGTCCCTATGAAAGGCAGATAGGGGTGGGGAGGGAAATATCTCTTTGGTCGTGGGGTCAGATTGTAGGTGGCAGAAGTGGTGGATTATGAGAAAAGGCAAGAAAGTTGAGTTAGGATTATGAGATCAGCCATGATCTCACTGAATGATGGAGCAGGCTCAATGGAACTGCTTTGATTTTGATTGTAGGGAGAAGCTGGTTATTAGCTTCCAACAAAAAGGGCCAATGTGAGGAAAAAAGGAGAACAACTAAAGATTGGTAGGAATTGTAAAGGAATAAGGAAGAATTGGCCATGGTTAAAATAACCCTCTTACTGAATCTTGATTGTCTTTAGGTGCTTTCTACACTGAGAGGCTGCTGGGTCGGAATGACCAGAGGATCATTGTTTTGAACACAAATCTGTACTACAGAAGCAATAAGCTTAATGTTGAGACTAAGGACCCTGCTGGCCAGTTTCAATGGCTTGAAGAGGTTCTTTCAAATGCAATCATAGAAAAAGAAAAAGTAAGTGGCAACTTGAAATATATGTACATGTTACAGTTTTTCTAAAAATAACTGAAGTTGGTGAGGTCTTTTGCCCCATTGAAAATAAGGTGTGGAATAAGACAAAGTTTATTGTCCCTACCTCTGAGACAAGATGTTCAGGTTTAAGTCCCACCTGCTCCAGAGATGTTGATTGAAAATATCTGTGATGTGAAAAAACATAAAACCAAGTTTGTTTAAAAGGTCTTTTTTAGTAATTCTACTGCCATGCAGGGAATTTATGGAGAATGGATTAGCCATTTATAAGATAGGGAAATTCAACCTAGAACAAATGTTTTCAGATATACTAACAAACAGAGAAGGCACAAGTATTTTTTTTGTTCAATGAAGCAAGAACTAAGATAGAGCTTTTCGTGGATTGTAGATATTTTTAATGAACCTGTTGCCCGCCTCTAGAGTAGGTGGGACTTAAACCTGAACAACTTTATTGATATGCATGCCTTGCAGATATGTATGGCTTGCAGATCTTTTATCCTCATTTCCCTTTGTCTCAGTTGTCCTTGTTATGTGAGGTGAAAGAATCAATTAACATCCATTATCTCCTTATTGTTAACCATCACCATGTCACCAACATGGATTGTAGCCAATTGGACATTGGTGCCATCATACAAGAGCATACACACTACACCACTGTCTTCAGGGAAAGTTTACTGAATAAACATCAAGAGAAGAAACATTGGAATTTTTTCCCCTCTCTCAAGATGCAGCAGCTGTTCATCATAAGCCCAGCAATATTACTGCTCAGATCAGCTAACTCAAAATACCAAGGATGCTTTAATATTATCAACAGGAAGCAGCTCACTATTAAACAATTAGTCAAATGATAATTGAATTGTTTGGTTAATGGGCTAACTGTGTATTCTCAACATTTATAGGTTTACATCATTGGGCATGTGCCACCTGGCTTTTTTGAAAAGAAGAGGTGGACATCTTGGTTTCTAGAACATTTCAATAGCAGATATGTTGAAATTATCCAAAAGTATCACAGCGTGATAGCTGGTCAGTTCTTTGGACACCACCATACAGATAGCTTCAGGATGTTCTACAATCAATCAGGTAATTAATGCATTTTTTATATTTTTTTCCTCACAGTCCCATTGACACGACTCCTGTGTTAGTGTGAAGGCCCACAGGCTGAAGTACATTTACCCACTCACTGCATGAGCATTGGATTAGTTAGTTAACTGTTAGTTGGTTACTCAGTTAGTCAGCTGAGTGTTGGAATAACAGGTGAGACTGATCTAGGTGTCTGCAAACACCCATTTTCCACTCAATGCCTGGGGTAATGATCAGGAGCATAAACTCTGACTGATGTTTCTTCCTTCTTGGCCCAAGATGCCCCTTACTGTTATTGTAGCCAAGACAAAGAATCAGAGCAGTCTGTTGATTTTAAACTGGCCATTCAAGTCTGGACTCCTTATTACCAATGTTCCCTCAAAGTTCCACTGTTCTGTGCACAGTGATCAGGGTTGGCACACTGATCGGGGCATTGATCTCCAGTTCCAGAAGTTCTGGAACCTGCTGAGCTTTTCCAGCAACTTTGTTTTTGTTCCAGAAGTTGCTTCCATGCACAGGCCTTAGAGGCCCATGCAACTGGAACAAAAATTAGGGGGCATGCTCCTTGCTACAGTGTTGGGTGGTATATGCTCACGGACACAGATGCAGGACACATTTTGTTTGTAGAAATGGAAATCTCAGAATGATACAACTTATAAATAATGCTACCATATGTTCAGAGGCTGACTGAGTGAGGCTGTAATTTTGGGTGTAATTCTGCCAAAACCATAGAATCATACAGTACAGAAGGAGATTATGTGATCGATCATGACTGTATACCACTTCTGTGATAAAGCTACAAAGTAGTCTTTTATTGTGATGTATGCTGCGTGACTTATATATATTAATGTAATCTATTTTAGCGTTTGGATTTTGAACTAGTGGCATATCGACTTTGGTCTGTGTATGAGGAGGTTTGATGATTAATGTCAGTATTTCTGGAGCCATGCTTTTTAATAAGTACAACATGAGGGACAGTTCCTAGAGTACTCAAGAAATTTATTTGTATTGGGAGAGTTTTATGAGCAGACAGAATAACCATTGAAGCATTTTAACTTGTTTTCTATTGGAGGAATCAAAGGTTGGGATCTTCTTGCTTAGGAGAAACACTCATACCTTAGAAACTTTGTTTTCAATTCACAGATGTCCTGGTTGGAGTTGGATGTATGAAACAATTCTCCTGAAGCAAGGTATTAGTTCAGAAAAGTTAGGAAATAGGTTACCTCAAAGAGAGGATTTTAGCTTGAAAGCTCCAGACCACACTTGTTTGGTTAGAACCCTGAAGGTTTTTTTTGAAGCTGAGAAGGTATAAATTTAATTGTGTGGATACTCAAGGAAGTGGCTATCAGACTGTCAAGATGGGGAATTGAAAGTAATAGTTAAAGACAAACCTTCAGATATAAAGAAGGCATTTCTCGCTCTGGTGTTTGAGTGCTGTAGAGGGATGCTGTTGTGATAGACAAAATATTGTCATTTTACCATTTCAAAATCTTTAAGCTTGTGATGTGCAAATATCTCAGTTTATTTTGTTTTATCTTTTGTTGATAAACTTTTGTTTCATTGTTAAATTCAAATTCATTATGTGCTTGTGCTTCAGTGAAAGACCACATTATTAAATTAGAAAGAACAATGATTTATCAAGAGATTGCTGGAAAAGCTCAGCAGGTCCTGCAGCTGTGGAGAGAAATCAGAGTTAATGTTTCACGTCAAGCGACCCTTCCTCAAACCCCTGAGTTCAAACGTTAACTCTGATTTCTTTTCACAGATGCTGCCACACCTGCTGAGCTTTTCCAGCAATTTCTGTTTTTGTTTCTGGTTTGCAGCATCCACAGTTCTGTCAGTTTTTAATGATTTATCAATCCATGCTTCAGGCTGGGATCTGACTAGTTCAGAAATAACATCAGTGTGATCATAACAACATGTTGTTTCTTATTCATAGCCATCATATCACAATATGATTCTATACTCCAGCTGAAATTACGTGCGTAGCACCCTCATAGAGTCATAAAACACAGAAACACAACCTTCGGTTCAACTCGTCCATGCCAACCAAGTCTCCCAAACCAAAACTAGTCCCACTTGCCGATGTTTGGCCCACATCCCTCTAAACCATTCCTATTCACGTACCTGTCCAAATCACTTTCAAATGTTGTAACTGTACCTGCATCTACCACTTCTGCTGGCAGTTCATATGAATGACTCTCTGTGTGAAAACATTGCTTCTTAGATCCCTTTTCAATCTTTCTCCTCTCACCTTAAAAATATACCCACTGGCTTTGGACACCATCTCAGTCCCCGTTCCCCCACCTCTCCAACCTGAGGGAAAAGACCTTTGCTATTAATCTTATCTATGCCTCTCATGACTTTATAAACCTCTACACAGTCACCCCTTAACCTCCTACATTGCAGTGCATAGTCCCAGCCTATCCATCTTCTCCCTATAACTCAAACACTCCAGTTCTGGTAACATTCTGGTAAATCTTGTCTGAACCTTCTCTAATTTAATAATATCCTTCCTACAGCAGGGTGACCAGAACTGTACATAGTACTCCAAAAGAGGCCTCATCAACATCCTGTATAGCCTCAACATTATGTCCCAATTCATAAACTCAGTGGTCTGAGCAATGAAGGCAAGCATGCTAAATGCCTTCTTAACGACCCTGTCTACCTGTGACACAGCTTTCAAAGAATTATGTACCTGGACCCTTAGGTCTCTGTTCAACAACACTACCCAGGGTCCTACCATTAACTGTATAAGTCTTGCCCTTGTTCGCTTTACCAAAATGCAATACCTTGCATTTATCCAAATTAAACTCCGTCTGCTACTCCTCAGCCCATTGGCCTAATTGATCAAGATCTCTTTGTATTCTTAGATAATCCTCTTCACTGTTGACTATACTACCAATTTTGGTGTCATCTGCAAACTTACTGACCCTGCATCCTAAAGTCTCCTTTGAATCTTTTATGTAAATAACGAATAACAGTGGACCCAGCGTTCATCCCTGCAGAACACCATTGGTCAGAGGAGCCTCCGGTCTGAAAAACCACCCTCCACCACCACCCTCTGTCTCCTGTCAAATCAATTTTGTATCCAACCAAAAAGCTCTCCTTGAATCCCATGTAAGCTAACTTTACTAATCAGTCTACCATGCGGAACCTTGTCAAAGGCTTTATTAAAGTGCACGTAGACAACATCTACCTCTCCGCCCTCATTAATCTTTTTGAATGTGTCCTCAAAAAACTCAAATCAATTTTGTGAAACATGATTTCCAACACACAAAGCCATGCTGACTATCCCTAATTAGTTCCTGCCTCTCCAAATGCATGTAAATCCTGTCTCTCAGCATCACCTCCAACAACTTGTACACAGATCCTTGAAAGTGGAGTCACAAGTAGACAGGGTGGTGAAGAAAATGTTTGACATGCTTGCCTTAATTGGTCATAATATTGAGTTTAGGAGTTGGAATGTCACATTGCAGCTATGTAGGACATCAGTGAGGCCACTTTTCGAATATTGCATACAATTCTGGTTGCTCTTCTAAAGCAAGGATGTTGTTAAACTTGAGAGGGTACAGAAAAGTTTTACAAGGATGTTGCCAGGACTGAAAGGTTTGACTGATATGGAGTGGCTGAATAGGCTGGGGTTTTTTTTAGCTGGAGGTGTCGGAGACTGAGGATTAACCTTTTGGAGGTTTATAAAATCATGAGAGACATGGACAGGGTGAATAGCCAAAATATATTTCCTAGGGTGGGGGAGTCCAAAACTAGAGGTTTAAGGTGAGAAGGGAAAGATTTAAAAAGGATCTGAGGGGTAACTTTTTCACACAGAGAGTGGTGTGTGTATGGAATGAGCTGCTGGAGGAAGTGGTGGAGTTGGGTACAATTACGACATTTAAAAGGTACTTGGATGAGTAAATGTGTAGGAAGGAATATGAGCCAAATGCTGGCAAATGGGGCTCTGTCAGATTGGGATGTCTGGTCATTGCACTTGAGTTGGACCAAAGGGTCTGTTTCCATGCTGTATGACTCTTTGATTTCATGAGTTATAATAAGTTACCTACCACTGGTCCCTGAATCAATGTTCTGGATTCATGATTCAGACTGTGGACTTGGTCACAAGATTCTAGTGGTGAGGGAGTGAGATGTGACCTTGCTGTTCATGAGAGCTTGCTCTCTCTCTCCTTTTGGACGTTATGAAAATCCATTATTGTATATCTGAATGTTTCTGATCTAATCAGTTTTTTTAAAGTATCCGTTTGGTGGAATTATAACTAAGGAAAGATTTGCACTTTTCTCAGGCTTCCAGATGTCCCAAAGTGCATTCCAGACAATTAAGTCTTTTTTGAAGTGTAGTCACTGTTGTAGGAAATGTAGCAGCTGTCTTGCACAGAGTAAGGTAGCACAAACAACGCTGACCAGATAACCTGTTTCACAACTGATAACCAGTATTGGTTGAGGGGGATCTCTTGTCCAAGTCACAGGAAGAATTGCATAGTTTCATTTCAAAACAGTGGCATGAGATCTTCTAACATTAGCTTAAGAGAGCAGAGCAGACTAGCCTCAGTTTAATAGCCCACCTGAAAGATAACACTTGTGAAAGTGTGCCATTTCTCTAGTACTGCACTAGACCATCACTTGAAATTGTATACTTAAATATCTGGTGTGGGATTGGAAACCACGGCTTTCTGACCTCAGAAGCGAAGGCACTATTGAATGTACACACATGGCTTCATCCAACAGTTAGCCATAAGAAAAACAGATTTGTGGTTCTTGGTCTATTGTCATAACATCCCATTCAGAGATGGTATGCAACAGGTAAAAGGGATGATCACAGATTTTAGTTTACTCCGTATGAACTATCTTGAGCATACTTAGTTGGTTTAACTGCCCAGATGATGTTTAACATGGTGAATTGTACAGTTATAGAACACCACCATGCTTAACATATATTCACATGCAGATATATACGCAACACATGAATTAGGAAGAGGAGGAAGCTG